AATGCTGGCAAGAATTCCTGGAGTCGCCGCATATCTCGATCACATCATCATAATGGGCTGAACAGCGGAAGAATTATTTAACCGCTTGGAGGTGTTTGGTCGTATCCAGTCGCATGGTTACGGGATTCGTGAGAACACGTGTACTTCCTTCACTCCGACCATCAAATACCTTGGCTTTATCCTTGAAAAGAATGGCCGTCTACCAAATCTGACAAACACCGAAGTCATAAAGAAGATTCCTCCACCAACAGATCTTCGATCGCTGCGTTCATCCTGTGGTCTCATCAGTCACTACAACGCATTTTTGTCTAAGTTGCATCACATGTGTGCATGGCTGAACATGCTGCCGATCAAAGACCACATTTGGAGGGGGACACGAGTGCCAGCGTACCTCTGAACGACTCAAGTCATCACTGGAATTAGAATCATTGCTGATTCATTACGATCCAACCCATTACCATTATACACGTTAGTTGCAGGTGGAAAACAACTGTTATTGCGCCGCAATACAAAAAATGAAATGTAACAGAGGCATGCCGGCTGAGTCACCAGTAACGGATGAACATACTTCTGGGGAGCTAACAGGCGGCTACTGTACTGTTTAATAAGTAAGATCGTGGTTGGGTGGGGAGGGATAAAGAAACTCATAACACAAATACCACTGAGGTTGGCTCTTAGCCATGTCAGCAAAGGTATCCAGTCAAACGTGTTCGTCGTCTTTCGGTCCCCAACCAGGGAACCGACACACTCCAACCGAGGCCAACTTTGAAATAATGGCATTCATTCCTCTCGACCGAGTCATCGCTTAGTCACCCCTCTTCTTCTACCATCCACACCCCCGGCGCGCAAACAACGCACGTCGCGAGAGCCGGTGGGCTGGCATGCGCAACACGTGTCCGCGCCATCGGAGCCTGGTGAGTGAAATGAAGGTGATGAACGGTTCGCTTCTTCTTCATGTGCAATAAACAAGGCGCCGAACATGCTCATGGCTCACACGGCGTTCCCACCGGACATGAGTTAAAATACGAAGGCACCGGTGGTCGAAGGTTAACTAGCTTCTTTATGTCTACTAAGTTAATGGGCTAGATTTCACAATCGTACAGGAGGGTCGAGGGTACGACTGCAGCATACACTCTACCATTCAGGGAGAGTGATGTCGCACCGGCGCCATGGATGGCGAAGGTTAGCAAAACCATTTCGAGCTTTTGCTATACAGTTTATGACATCGTCTTCAATTCCAAAGGCACTGATACAATAACCTAGGTAGTTGAACTTCTGAAAGACTTTAGCTGATCCCCGATAAGGGTAAGCGCAGGAGGCAGTCCCTGCCAATTTTGTGGGAAAGCTTTGCACTTGGAGAGTATAAACCATAGCCCGAAACGGCTGATAGTCAATGCTAATCTGTCTAGTGCTGCTTAGCATCTTTGTGAGCTGTCAAAGATAAGAGCAATATCGTCAGCATACTCCAAGTCAAGAAGTCGTTCATCTGGGAGCAGCTCCACAATTTCTACGTCGTGTCCTGTGAACGCAACTTCCATGACTTTGTCAATAGCGAAGTTGAAGAGGAACGGTGACAGCGGACATCCTTGCCTTACACCACTGGAGATGTTGAAGGGCGGTGTCGATCCAAGTCAGAAAACCATTCTTGCAACGGACGCGCAAATCAAGGGATGGGAGCAATTAGTTCGCATTTGTACCCAAATGGATCCAAGAAGGCGATCGCTGACGCGGCCGAGAAGAAGTACATCCAGATCGAAAAAGAAGCATTGGCCATAATCTTTGGAGTGAAGAAATTCCTAAGATGCTATACGGTCGCCGATCAGAAATCACTGCTGATTATCTACGGCTCGAAGAAGAGCACCCCTGCCTCACTCACTCACTCTGCTGAGCCATGATTTTGAGATCAACTACCAAACAACCGTTTCCCTGGGACAAGCGGGTGCACTGTTACACCTCATAGACTTCCATGAACAAGGTGAAGAAGACAAGAGCATTAGCCTCAGCTGAGCTTGAATCGGACGTCAAAGTTCTTGTAAGTGATGCATTGAGTGACCTATCTACCAATACTGCAAAAGCTGTACGAGCAGAAACGCTTCGTGACCCAGTACTCAAGATGGTCGCACAATTCAATAGGAGGAGTTGGTTACGTACATGTTCATCAGCCAAGTTGCAGCAGTACTATACAAAGGAGGCATGCAGTCTTCATTGTGAACGACTGCAGAGCATTCTCGGGACGAGTTATCATCCCCAAGGCACTACAAAAGCTCGTAGATAGCAGAGAATAAGTTGCGTTGGCTTTGGTACGTACTACCTATGCCCGGTCACCGCTTACCGAGGAGGGCTTTGTTTAGTCGGCCAGATATAGGGCGCCGCAAGGCTCGAGGAGGAGAGGAGTTGACTTGGTAGCGGGAAATGAAGTCACTGACGACCAAACTCGTTGCCGTTAATCCGTCTCGCCTCCTGGCTGGAGTCGTGACTCGCCTTGTACTTCGCTGGAGACTTTACAGGACATGGCTAATAGTCGGCACCATTGGCGCGACTGCAGCTGTCTCCTGGGCAGACTGCCGGTTTAAATTATGTTTTGTCCTGAGTTGTCTGCGGGGTAGTGGCTGATTATGACGCGAGGCAGTGAAAGCCGCAAGGAAGCTGTCTCGCTAATGATACCTTATGTTTGCACGATAACAGCTGTTAGTGATGGCATGTTGTTATCAAGCTGTAGGCGCCTTGACCACGAATGTTTACTTAGAGCATTAAGATTTTTCGATAAGTCCCCCTTCTCTCCCTCGTATTATTCTTCATTCCATAGGTCATCATGGCTGTATGGCAGCAAAACATCAGTTCAAGTGGCTGATGTACTGTTTTTGATGATGATGACGAAAGCTCGTACTTAAGTAGTTCCACGTAGGACATCCTGAAGTCAACCGGATGAAGGCGCTTGCTGGAAGCTTTGTGTACTGGCCATTCATGGACAGACAACAGGGAGAAACGGCTGAAAGTTGCCACATGCACTGCTGCTTCAAGGGTACCAGTAAAGGCGGAACCCCATTCATGGCCGAAAATAACGAGACCATGGTGCCGTGTCCGGGTCGACTTTGCAGGACCGATCAACGGCCAGAATTTTCTCGTTGCTGTCGACTTTTAAAGCAAATGGCCTGAAGTGTTCCTGATTAATAGCACACCAACAAAAGCCACTGTAACAAAACTACGGCAAATCTTCACCAGACTTGGCTGTCCAGAGACACTTCTAACTGACAACGCCACACAGTTCACTACAACAGTTTTCACGGTGTTCTGTAGACAAAGCGCCGTCCAGCACATCCGCGCTCAACGCTGTTTCCCCCACAATCGAATGGCCAGGCAGACAAATTCGTGTACACGTTCAAGAGAGCTCTCCTCAAATCAAAAGAAAAGGGCCGTATGGAGGTGATTGACCGATTCTTCTTCCTATACAGATCAACACCAAAACCACAAGTGCCGGATGGAGTTTTACCATCACAATCCATGATGAGCAGAAAGCTGCTATGCCGTTTGATGCCATTCGACCAAGCACAGAGCCCTCTGTTGGCGAAAAAAACTGCAGAATGGGATGGGATTTTAACCGGTGGCATGGAGCAAAGAAAGGATCGTTCACACATGGACAGACAATGCTAGTACGTGACTATCGAGAAGGCCACGCGAAGTGGACGCCAGGGACGGATAAAAAGCGTGGAAACGTCGTGTATGACGTGATCGTGGAAACACAAAGCTGGGCACGGCATGCTAACCAGCTACGGCCAAGGTTGTGCCAACCAGAAGAAGCAAAGCCTGTCGACCGCCCGTTCGATTTACTGGTGGAAAGCTTCAACTTGCCGAACGAGCCCTTAGACGACTGCTCCAAGTCGAGCAATGAAACCAGACCACAAACGACGGAACCTGCTTCTTGAGCACTTTAGCCAGAGATGGATCGATAGACAAAGAACACCGTCCCGAAGACTGCAAGTTAATCCCAGGCTTTCATCATACATTTCGGACGCCATCTCAGAAAGAGAGGTGTCCGGGATAAAAATTTCTCGGAAAATGCATTATTTTAGCGGGTAATCGGTCGTTATCGATTATCGCATCGATTTCGAACGTTCTAAACTGTTCTAAGACCTGCACGTGACTACCAACCTCCTGAAGATCGGCCAAATCAATGTTGGAGAACTAACCTTGGCAGTTGACCCTCCTGTTCTGGAAGTCGGTCAGTAAGAGACTTGTAAATACAACCAAGTTCTGCTGCAGTTGTACAGTATTTTGTTGACTGCGGTTAACCTGTTACTTTGGCAAGATCATTGGCGTTCTGATTTTTCCTTCAGTTGGGCTAGGAGTTTTGTAGGGCAGTAAAGTGACTATTCCGGAATCGCGTCAAGTGGGAATGGTACAACAGATATCAATAACTCGTTCCATATGGCTGCTACTAACTACGAAGTATTGCTTGTATCCAGTAGGATCACCGCAGGTTGGTATGCGAAAAAGTCACCCTGGCTCCGCGCTGCACGAGCATCCAACAGTAAAACATATAGGCTGGCAAGATCACATCCACTGCAAAATGTGCTTACAGCCAGCAGAGAGCCTAGCTGGATAAAACCAAAAGTACGAAATAAGTGTTAACAAGGTGCGAGAAATGGGAAAGGACTGTTGGGTGGTTTTGTACCATTTTCCTAAACAGGGTGTTCGTGATCAATCAAATTGTAGTAACAGGTTCAGTTCCACACGTAAAAGTTGCGAAATTAATGGTGATCTTCCATACGGTACTCGCCGCATGAACTTTTCAAAACAGTGCAACTGTCGTTTTTTCCACGATTTGATCGCTTTGTGCATCATTTTTCGTTCTTTCGCAGAGTATTTACTTGATTTGATGAGGCGTAGTGTACCTTTGTGCTGGGAATAACTTAGTTTTGTGAGTGACATACGTTAGAAGCACTGGTCAATAGAAGACAGGAGACAACAAATAAAGGCAAGACGGAAAAACGTTGATTTACCCGAAGACAACTGGATCCGGTAACCAGGAAGTTGCAGAGAATAGCGCAGGATCATAGGCGAAGGGCCGTATCCCTAAAATGTGAGACAAGTGTGAGATAGACAGATAGATTTTGGGATAATATAGGCGAGTGAATTCGAAATCGGCAATGAATCTTGATAAAATATATAGTATGCCCAGGTGGAAGTGTGGTTCAAGGGAAATGTAGCAGCACTTCATGTGACGCACCCAAGGTACAAGGCGGTTTGGTATCTCGCGGTTACTCCATCTAACCTAATCATGACGTTGTCCATGACAGTACACACAAAATAGACCCTCCGCTGTAAATTGATAAAGTACCACCCCAGCATTTGTCTGGAGAGATACTGTTGCCTTCATCCAGTTTACGGATGTAACAAAGAGGTAGGACCATGAAAACAAGAGAAATAGAGAATAAGAACGTCAATCAGAGGTGCAGTGTAGTTGGACTTAACACAGGACGATTTACAGAGAGAATTTAGAGATTCTAACAGACGTGGGAAGAATTTACCGGGGTGCTAAACGTCGACACCGTGAAACTGAAGGTATGTTTGGAGGATAGGGAAGAAGGATACACAACTAATATGAAACTGGGTCAAACGGCTTTCTTGGATGGGCCTATAACTGGTGTAATAGGTTTCCACGCTAGATGCATAAAAGCATCCAGTGAACTACAATGCATTCAAACATCGGGATGGGTTCGACTCGGTAGAGTCCTGCAAGCAGCATAAGCGATCATTTTCGCATGAGAAGACTCGCACCTCTTCAGCGGTTTGGTATCTTTCAGTGTTTCTTTCTGTCGGTATAAATTTTCGCTCAGTCATAAGAACTCAGAGGGACCTTCACAAACAATTACCAAATGGATCGAGTACTTAAGGTTACAAAACAAATTGCTACTGCATACATGGTTGGCAGTAGCCGGTTCCAGATTTGCCTGTCACTGTGGCCTCCATAGGACAGCCACAGCACGCCTGAGCTTACAGAGGGACCATGGGTGGTTTGTGCTGTATCCGCCACAGCTCCATCCACACACCCCATATCCAGTGTAAACCTGAAGGAATAAGACCGAGAGGCATGTGAATGGGGGCCACGTTTCATCAACAGAGCCAGCCCACACTCGTTCGACATGCACAGCAGCTCAGTAAATTCAAACAGGAACGTGCCGATACCTGATTGAGTTCCCAAAGAGACAAATGTATCATAGGGTTGACCTGTCTCTGTCGAAAACGTGAGCCGATATGGTGATAACAGAGGCAAGGCTGAGGTGAGGGAGAAAACCACTGTCCACAAACTTCACTTGACAAACAAATGGTTAAGTCAGTAGTACAATTGGATACAGTTATATGCGTCCGAAGTTGCAAACAGTGTGCAAGGGACCACGAACTTCCGGGTGCGGTAAGTATTTGTGAATAGATTAAATGCCGGGTAGGGTCCGCGGGTATTAGCGATAAAAGAGCAAGTACATAACAAAATCACTATTGGCAATCGCAAAGAACAGCGCAAACGGGTGGAGTTGTCTAAAAATTTGTATTGTAAATGGACACAGCTTATAAAGTGATAATATGCACAATAAATTGAGAGAAAAGGTAGCTGATGACAGAATTATTGTTCAGCGAAAGGGTTGGCATGGATGGTCACGTTTTGAATGTGGATTTCAGTCAACGGTCGATAGGTTTTCTCTTCCACAGGAGCACGCTCTAGCTCATCGAGTACATTCCATCCATCGATGATTCTGAGATAAAAAGTAAACAGCACAAGAGGTTCACGCGCAGTCGAGTACAAGATTAAGAGAAAAAACGATAAAAATACGAGACCCGATCCACCGTAGACACTGATGGACGCAACTGTGTATCTGTATGGGTACACATCTTTTCGGCTCCACAGTGACTGGGTGTATAGTAGTCAGCCGTATCGTTACGACCCAGTGACCGACTTAGAGAATACGTATGTGAGTAGAAGGGACGATACGAAAGCAGCGTTTTTTGGTGTCGTTTTTTTCACTGATCACTACTGGTGAACCGAGTGCCTAATGGGCAAAATGCCTATCTGAGGTAAGTAGATATAACAACCCTGGTAAGTCGAATGAAATATTTAATGGCAAGGAAATAAGTCGATCAGAAGACTGGTTGGATAGAAAGCATGTTTACGAATATGCCAACAAGGGAAAACGTACTTTGCAAATATGGAATACTTCATATCGAGCATAGTCTGCTTGCTGTATGTGATGAAAAACTGAGAGCCATTCGAGTCAGGACCATTGTTTGCCATAGAAACGATCCCGCGAGCATTGTGCTAGAAAGAACGAGGAAGTTAAACAAGCCCGAGACTAGTACTCGAAGTGATTCATGAAACTCGTCCTTGAATTTCCTCTTCCAAATGCTCTGACCATTTTTACCGGTTCCTGGATGAACGAATAGGTACAGTTCGGCTGTTTGGGATAAAAATATAACTCACCGGTTGGGTCACCTGTTTGAACAATGAAACCTTTGATGTTACGATGAAAAATACAGCCTTTGTAATAGTCTGAGGCGCAAAGTGCCAGGAAATTCTGTTAAAATGGGCAAATGAAGGTAGAAATTCGACAGAAAAATCGTAGCTATGTACAGGACTGACGGATATGTACACATACAAAATCAATGAGAAACGCTTAGACAGGGAGGAATTAGAAATGGGTTGATTGAAAAATCTAAACTTTCTGTGGTGGAGTTTGACTCAGAGGGGTTACTGCGATTTTGAAAAGTCCGGGGAACCAAAATACCCCAGTCACCCGTGGGTAAGGCTGAAGAACGAGTGGCGTTTTGAGCCAATAGAGTAATCCACTGGCGACACAAATCGACGAATTCCCTCCATTCCTTTTCCCCAATTCCACGCAACATGTTCTGATAAGGATGAATTGGATTTGGGCACATGATAAAGCCATTTGACTCGTCTCTGGCTGAGGTAGTCGTTTCATGTTCGTCAAACTCGCTATCGTTATCGCAAACGAAACGGATTCCCGGGTCCATGACTGATGAATAGGATATACGTGGGACAGCGTGGCCAAGGCTTAGACTTAGGACATAATTACGGGGATCTAGAGAGTGGACGTAATCGAAGAATTGTATCAACAAACATTCAATAGGAGGAAGCGGACGAAGAGAAGGTGAATCAAAACTAGTGTACTTTTCACTGTCCGAAGAAGCCAATCGGTTGAACGACGGTGCGTAATTGTGCGCCTGGAGAAAGTGCACAAAGAGCATAGTAAGCTTGAAATTGGTGAAACCCGGACTCGGGCCGCTCCTCGTTAGCTCAGATCGCCGTGAAATGAACTTGAGCACAGACACACACCTGGGGAAGTCCGGTACGTGAGTGGTCAAAAGCTGTAACAGCCTAGCCATGTGAAGTCCAGCATGAGAACGACTATTCCTACAACCAACTGAACCGCTGAATACATGAGAGATGTCCAACCCAACGCCAAGTAAAATGAAGTTGTTAACGTGTAAGATAGGTACACGACCATGAAAGATTCTGGAATTCTGAAAACCCAAAGGATCCAAGCGGATCAGCAATCGGCGCAAAATGGGTAGGAAGATCGGGTTTAACTGCGACGGCTGGACAAGCAGTGCGGGAAAAATTGAGGAAGTCGAATTGGATCGGAAATATTTCGTATCCAGCTTTTGATATGGTGGAACTTTTGAGAAATCAATCGAATCTTCAGAATCGAGACGAATAACCAGGTCAAGATCGGAGGTTGATGATCCCAATCCGTCGACGACAGAACCAAAAACTGATACCTTAGTATTCGGTCGTATGCTTGACAAAATATCTTGTATGCTCTGGCTAACAATGAATCGGGCGAGTAAATCAGCGTGACTCAGTCGAGTGGCATTGAACAACACGGAAGCTTGCTCGCTCACAGAATCGCAAGACTGCAATTTGGCGAGTAGCATTTTTGGTGTAATGGTACTCTTCTGAATATCCACCACCGAATGTAGAAATGAATGATCGATAGAGGAAGATGAGCAGCTGTGGGAGAAAACTGGCCACTTGGAAGGATCTGAGCACAGTCGAAAGGCGGAAAAAGGAATCTTGGCGGCAAAACAGCGATCGCTAGAAGAGAATTTAGAAAACAATTTCGGAAATCCCGTGATGAAGGCCAAGCCATGTTGCAAAACTTCGGCGGATTCCAGCTCAACCAGAAGCACTCCGATGCGTTTCTTATTTGGCCAGTAAAACGCCCGTACGGGACTGCCACAGTGCTGCTCGACAGCACTGAGCACGTGAGGCACACTCATATGAGAACAGGCTAGAAGTAAACTTCGTTTTGCTGAGGACACGTAAGCGGCCAACGATTGTGCCATAGTTGGAAGGGTTTATGCAAAATAGACACGCTGAGAGCCCGTAAATTAATTTAGCAGCTCACCTCGGATGCCAAGGGTGCTTGCATGCAGAATACCTCCAGTTTGAGATCACCCAAATCTGTGTGCAAAGTGACCGCCTGCAAAAAACAGAACAAATGGTGCTTGTATAAGCGAACGGAAGCTTGGTTATTTGTGGCAAATGCAACTCAGACTGAGTTCGTGAGATACGTTAACTAAAGGCAGAGCGATAACCAGAGATGTGAAGTGCAAACCAGAAGTGAACATCATGTTAGATGAATTGAAATTTGCAAACTCAGCTTCCATGACAAATCATTTAAAAGGAACTGTGATTCGGTACAATCTGATCAATCAGCGAAATATGTTGACGTTTTGCACGCATGCTGCACTGCAGAAACTGCGTATTACAAAAACCGATTACTCAAACGGGCGAAGTGAAGCCGTTTTTAATTGACTGTGACGAATGGACGGTGTACAGCCAACAACGACGAAGAAAAAGGAAGCCAGTGGGAGAGAAAATAATGTATAATTACACGCATTTAATTCACATATCCGGGCACAAACGGAATTCCGGTACCGACTCTGTTCTGGTATTCGAGGTAATCGGAACCAAAAAAATGTATCAGTTGCCTCTCCTCTTGTTCAATTCGACGGCGGAAGAAGATAAAAGTGGCAACAGTGTATCCGACAAAACAAACGGGATTACCAAGCAGAAGCTGTGTTCCGAGCACCCACAAAAACCAACCAACGTAAGCAGGATGACGGAACCATCCGTAAACTCCATGGGTAACCAGAACATGATTGTGGTGCTTAGTATGGGCCACAATGTGACTAAAGTTACTGGAAGCTGTGATCATGGCGGCCTTCCGTAAGGCCTCACCGGAAAGGCAAATGAGGAGGCCAAATAATCGAAAACACCACGGAGTCTGATAGAGCATTGGGTAGAGATGTTCAGTAGTCAACACTTCAAGCCAGTATTCGGCTGCACATGCGCATACAGCTAAAGCATATTCCAAACTGTGAGTCAACATGTAAACGTCGATTGAACAGTGAGCAGGATTCCACTTAGCAGTTACATAAAATTCCGACCAATGAAAAAAGCTTAGAAGCATTAAGTAAAGTGTGAAGGGTAACAAGGACTTGGGGGTTAAAAGTAGAAATGAGCTAACTGCTGTAGTGGCGCTGAGTGAAAAAGCACTGCCGAGAACAAAAGCCCGCCAAGCATTTCCACTTAAGCTGCAACGCGCCTCAGTAAAATAATGACTGGGCGCAAAGGAAATCGCGAGATGAAGCAAGAAGGCAGACAGAGTGTACAACACAAAAATCTGTGCGCTCAAATATGAGAAAGAATAAGTAAGCGATAAGAGAAATAACATGAAGGGGAAAGGGAAGAGACCAAGTACAAAACCAATCAAACTAAAGAGCGCATCCGGGGAATTCATCCGCAAATCTTCTGTTAAGTTATGAAGTAGGACCTACAAAAAACAAGGCCGAAAGATAAGCCGAGAGCAAATAAGCATTGCGACGATGTTAATATTTAACAGAAACTAGTACTATAAAAAAACAAGTTTTCACGGCATACAATGGAAAATCCATCAAAGATGTTTTCGCACATGGGGGTTGAGAAGGTACTAACTCAAGATATACGGCAACAGTAACAAGCAGAAAAAATGCAGGGAAGTTAGTGAGATATAAATCTACAGGAATAATGTGACAGAGAGAAACCAGCGTAGACAGAAGGAACAGTGGGTGACAGAAGCAGGGGAAACCATCAGGATTCAGTTCAAGGCAATTGGTACCGGCCCGTAGCCTCAAGGATCACAAGGCGCGAATTCGAGTCTGCTTAAGGGACAGGGCGACCCTCGCAGTATCCTTAGCCCACGTGCGACTGGTGGTGGTTGCGCGGCAGCGAAACATCGGTACTGCGTACCGGCGTATTGCTGACCCCGTTCCCTACACAGGATCGAAAAACCCTCGGACTACAAGTCAGCTAGGGTCCGGCCTTGCCAACTCAATTGATAACCATGAGTCTTAGAATGAAGCGCCGTAGATGCAGATTGCGTGACTCATATCACCATCTAGTAACTTATTCACGATGGTCGTTGTCGTCCCCCGTAGGTCAGTGGTCTCAACCACGGACTGGCAACAGTCGAGTTGCAGGTTCGAGCCCTACCAAGGGTCCGATGGAATGAGAATTGCTACTGATTCCCGAAAGGATGAAACGCGCGTACAGTGCTTTTCCGGGCGTGTGGTGGCTGTCTGGGTGAGTCTAGATGTGACGAATTTCTACTATATATATATATATATATATATATATATATATATATATATATATATATATATATATATATATAAAATTAACATTGTACATGGAGCCAACGAAAAAACCAAGTGAATAAAGGGAAGCACAGTTTGAGAGAAAATAAAACGAAATATTTTCGTCTTTTCCGCAAGCCAATTTTGTTTCTTTTTGATACTTTCAAGGTCCGAGTCAGTAGACATGTGAATCCATACAATATTGCACGGAGTTCTTTGACTGATTTCGTTTGCAGGCCACTTGTTCGAGTGTGTGAAGCTACTGGCACTCCTCATCTTCGGGTCCCCATCCAGGAAGACGCACCGGTCCACCGGCGGCTAAACGTGACGCCAGCGATGTTATGTGATGTCGCCAAGTGATTGACCACGATGCTGCCGCCTTCAGCCCAGTGTTCAACTACCGAATAGAGCGCGGTGCGGCAAACGATAAGGTGCCATGCGTAGGATGTGGCCGAGCCATCTTAACTGGCGCATCAAAACCAGATTGTTGAAGAAAATAATTGCATTCCCCAGGATGTGACCTCTAACGTCAGCATCAAGATCAACAACAACAGCACATTAGCCATTTGATCTGATGCTTCGCTACCATACAAGCATAACGACCTACGGAGCGAAATAATAAGAAGAGAAGGGGAACTTAACGGAAAAGCTTAATGCCCTAGGCAAACGTTCAGAGTCAAGGCGCCTACACTTTGCCAACAACATACCATCACAAACAGGTGGCTATCCTGCAAAGATAAGTCGGCATCGGCGAGAAAGCCTCCCAGCGACTTTCACTGCTCCGCGTCATATTAAGCCGTTACCTACCATATAACATCAAAAAATGTTATGGTCACCAAGGTCAATCCGGCTGCTCCGATAGGCTGTTCGCTGAAACCTGCCGCCCCAATTGGCCAATCAAAAAGGCAGTCGTAGCCACAGTGTAATGACCGCCAGACAAGGGATGATAATAGAGCGCAGAGCACCGATATTTAGTTGGTCATAGCAACCTATCTGATCGTTGTTGTCCTCTTCTTTACTTAGCAATGATAAACTGTGAGAACATACTAATACTACACCAATGTGATTATTTTCGCGATTTCTGGGAAATGGTTGGACTTTGATCCTCTTTGGGTTCACTGATCCGTTAGTTAGGAGGTGCTCCTCCTAACACAAAACAATTTAAGCGAGCAGTTCGAGTAGGAAACGTTAGCAGACGCGCAGCCGGTGTCGACCGCGAGCCATGTCCTGTAAAATCTCCAGCCAAGTACAAGGCGAATCATGTGGACTGCAGCCTAGAAGGCGAGACCGCACCAAGTTTGGTTGTCAGGGACTTCATTTCGAGCTGCCAAGTCAACTTTTGCCCACATCGAGTCTTGCGCCACTCTACAACTGGCAGACAAAACAAGGACCTCCTGAATAAGCGGTGACCAGGCATACGTAGCACGTGCCCAAGCCAACGCAACTTATTTAGTGCTACCTGTTGTTGTAAGGAACTAGGTTAGTAATCATTGCTTAGCACTCACCTACGCATATCGTTGCGGACACACCGGTGCCAACTGACACCAGCGATGCTTCGCAAATAGCGATGATCAGAGTTAAAGGCGCCTCAAATTCACAGACCGAAGAGGCCAAGTCTCACTCCCATAAAGTAGAATTGTCATCACTGTGGTCTTGTAAACACAGCCTTTCAGATGGAGGCAAACACTTTGCTCTCGCCAAGAACGTGGCAGATTCAAAAAGATAGTTCTGGCTTTTGCAATACGCAAACTGATTTAAGTAGCTATGCGCCCACCGTTGCTGATACAACTGCCAAGGCGTGTGAATTGATCAACTACCTCGAGTTTCTCGTTGTCTAGGGTCAAGTGATTACAAAGTGGATGATGGTCCTGCAGCACTTTGCACTATGAAGGTACGAAGCGGATACTAAATAATGAGACCACTCTAGAGAGGTTATTTAGGGTTGGTTGCGTCGCCCCAACATCCTCAAACAGCAAGATGATATCGTCCGCATAAACGATAAACTAGCCTTTAACCAGGCAGCACCTCAACGCCTGCATCGTGAACTTCCGCAAGTGTACACTTCATGATGAAATCCACGACGAAACTGAAAAATTGAGGAAATACGACAATCCTGACGAATCCCACTTGTAGTCGGAAAGCGGGCAACTTTGTCTCACGCCGATGGAGATATTGAATAGCGGCGACAATCTGTCATAAACCCTCACTCTGCCCAAACTATGTACGGAAAGCGCTCTGATAAATTTTACGAATCTATGGGGCACACCTTTCCTCAAAAGACAATCCCAAAGGGCACATCGATCCATCGAATCGAAGGCACATTTTATGTCGATAAACATGACAACTGGGTGACCTATAAGCATGGCAGTGCTCCAACAATCGACGCAAAGTGAAGATGTAGTCGATGCAGCTCCGACCTCGATGAAACCCGGCTTGCTCGTCACGGAGCTAGCTTTCACGAGTGCCAGTCAGTTTGTGGAGGAGAGACGCAAAAAATTTAGATGCAATTGAGAGCAGTCGGATTCCTCTATGACTGGCGCTCTCCGAACGGGAGCCACTCTTGAAAATCGGAATTATAGCGGAACGGCTCGACTGTCGGGACAGTTTCCTGTTCCCAAAGTTTCACTAGCAACTCGTGTAAATCATCCACAAGAGCAGGTCCACAAGTTTGAAGAGGGTTGGGGAATTCTATCTGGTCTTGCGGATTTATGCAATTTCAACAGACATATCTCACGTTGGACTTCTGCGCGTGAGGGCGGATCCAAGGAGACGGCTGGCTTCGCCAGCTGGCTGGTGTCAATGCGCTCACAGCGACATTGCGGACTTTCGCCGAAACGCACCAGAAGGTTAGCACATACAAGGGCGTGATGAAGTCTACGTTCGTGCTCCAAATCGAGTGAACGTTTTGGACACAGCCTCTCCACCGATAACCGATCGCGATGTGATCGGTTTGCGTCCATGTCTGGTGGGCACCAAATCACTTCTGCGAGTGTTGTCTCGAAAGATGATGCTCGCGAGAAGGGGACGAGCATCTTCATAAAAGTGTAGCAACCGCTCACTGTTATTATTACGAGAGCCTACACCATGTTGGTCACCCAGATGAAGCTCATCTGAGGATAATTTTCCGATTTAGGCGTTTAGATCATCAGTCAGTACAATAACCACGCTTCTTCTGTAACGAAGATCGTTAAGTTGGTGATAGAAATCATCTTTCACCAAATCAGTGCTACAATTTGTAGGGGCGAAGGCCGCAATGACAAACAGGCACCGTTTGTCCTCGCGCGACTTCGAAGCCTGGAACGAGCCAGCTAATCTAACGGCACATATCCGGCTGTTGGCTGGGATCCAATCGAGCAGGGCAGCTTCAGCCACGGGACTCAAAACAATGCCGACACTAGCTTGACCGGCGTTTGAGACTGCGTCATTGTCAGATAGTCGCAACGAGAATGTGCCTCCATTGTCGTATGTGGGGGATTGTAGAGTAAGCACGGAGCTGGAATGTTGCAGGAGGGTTTCCGATAAACAGCAAATATAGATCGAGAGGTTCTCGAGTGTTCGGGCAAGTGTTGCCTGTTGGCCAATCTGTAGCAAAGTGCGCACGTTGAGGAATGCCAGTCTTAGCGAGGATCGAGGATTCCAACGGGAAACCGATGAACTGACGTTGTCCGCTTGGTTGAACATGGACTTGTCGACTGGATTGAAGCGACGCAGTGTGATTTGAAATTAGAAGATAAACGACTATTGAAGCAAGGTGAGGGAGGGCCAAGAATTGGGGGTGGAAAACGGGAGGAGTTAGAGTGGGACGCTAAGGATGAAGAAGGGTAAGAGGGGGAATAAGAAGGCGGGAAGGTCTGAGCAGTAGCATCCAAACCCCTATCCACCCTGCTCGATGCAGCAGATAGAGCGCCGTTTATTATCCTCTGCGACGGCCATAGCATCAAGAAATTGTTAAAAGGAAAGGTCATGGTGTATTGCGTGGGCAGAATACTGTCAGGTTGCCCAGGCCTAGACAGGAGAAAGATTATGGTTCTCAACCAAAGCCTTTGGTTCAAAAACCACGCCGTAATGCAGCGGAGTTTTGGCACTGGACTACAGAGAGCCCGTTTTACGGAAAAAGGAGCCACCATCCATCCAATCCTTAATCTAGAGCATCAACAGGA